TATCCTGTTCTCATTATACATCCTTTGGTATGATACTTAACCCCAAATTGCCTAACCCTATCCCAAAATTGCCCCTGATGGCATTACCAATGGTGTGTGAATGTGAGCCTCCCCTTAGCACAGTGGTTCTCAAACTTTTTCTGTCAGGCCCCCCCTTTGGAGGAAAAAAAAGTCGGGCCCCCCAACACAAATAGTCACGTAATGGGCCAAGTTAACATTTATTAAAATACATCAATATGAACGTGAGCATTCCTTTCAAGAACAGTGATAATAAAACAATGCTCCATAATTCTGTGTGGTCAATACAATTCTGGCGTTACTAATTACGACCTTACTACCTGCGAACGATTACAACAATACAATTGTGCAATCCCTGTGCTAGAACAATAAGTTATAATACTTTGCCACTTTGGCAATCTGTGCAAAAAAATGAAAAGAAAGAAAATGCTGATAAAAGTGTGTTTTAGCATTAGTGGCTGCAATAAGCCTGTTTGGCACTGCACATTTCTTCAAAACGGGGTTGCAGGCTCAGTAGCAGCGCCAGATATTTTCTTTTGGGGGTGCTGTGGGGTAGCTTGACGTTTCATAGAGGGTGCTCAAACATTTAGGGTTTCCCATTAATGTACCGGGCGCTACAGTGGAATTGTCTACTGCAACACTCCCCACACGCAAATACACAGTGTACCTGTGACTGTTACAATGACAGGGGTTACCCCCCTGGCATGCCTCTGACCAATTTGCCGCCCTAGGCAAGATTTTAGCTGGCGCCCCCCCCCAAAATGCAGACACTCACTATGACACGTGCGCGGTTGTGGCATGACCACCAAAACAAAGATATTGACACAAGATGTGTGCAACTGTATTTAGTTTCCTATCCATGTGAACATGATTTTAAGTGGGGGGGGGGACCTCACCTCCTCTAGCGGGGTCCGGGAGCATGCACCCCCGGTAAGAGTTTTTTTTTTAATATTGAAGTTAAAAGCATCAATCTGGTGCACTTTGAGAGCAACATTAAGAGATCTATGGATACATCTCTCAACACCAGATGAAACAGAACTGTAAACAGATTTTCTTTTTCTTTATGGATATTTTCTCTCTCTTATTTTTTCATAACTATAATGATCATATAAAGGTGTGCCTTTACCTCACTGAGCTGAGGTTATCAGAGCCTCTCAGTCTTTCAGGAGAGAGCTTTCTAAAGCTCTCCCCCCCGCGGCCGCTTACACAGTACATTCCAATGTTAATAAAAGCACACAGAAGCTGTGTACGTTTTTTGGGAGTTTGATTTATTTTAAATTAACACAAATACAAAATTAAAACCTATAATTGCCCACTAAAACCATTATTTCAAAAAAAGAACTATTTCACATAAACCTCTGGTTTTTACTGGGGCTGGGGCGGTTCAACTTGATTTTGGGGGGGGGGGTGCCATAGTTTATGGGTGCTGTACGCAATATAGGCGTAGTTCTGTTAGTATAAGATAATAAGATGTACTTTGTTGATCCAAAATCGGGAAATTGTGTTATGAAACAAAACATTTTTTTAATTTCGAACTTTTTTTCCCCTTTTTTTTCCCGGCGCCCCCTATGGGTTGATGCGCCCTTAGCATTCGCCTATACTGCCTATGCCGAGGGCCGGCCCTGCCTCTGCGCCCCCCACTTTGAGAAACACTACCTTCGCAGATGGCATGAATGTGTGTGAATGCTGACTTGACTAGTAAATGTAAAAGCACTTTGACTAGAAAGAATAAAAAAGTGCTATTTAAAGGCAAACCATTTACCAGGTCCCAGTTTGATAAAACAGTGGAAAAAGAATAGAAAGAATCTTGTTCCAAATTTGTAACAGTTCAGGGGCCTCATTTATAAACGGTGCGTACGCACAAAAGATGGCGTACGCCAGTTTCTACGCACTGTTTGCGATTTTATAAAAAACTAACTTGACGGGAAAACGTGCGGTCCTCCACGCAAACTCTAACCCATGCGTACGCACTAAGCACAAAAACGGGAGAGACGAGAAACTGCGACACCGTTGGCAGAAGGAAGAATGGAGAGAAATATGTGGAAATAATACCATAAATAAAATGTTACCTCTCATTTATCATATATGAAGAATTCATTTTCAAACATTGATTAAAGCCAATCTTAAAATTATTAAACAAACGCCTGTTTGAGACTCCTCAGTGCACACAAAAACATAACTTGGAGAAATAAATAAATACGTAAATGTTATTGATCACCCCTCGATTATGTTCTCTTGTTAAGAAATGTATTCTCATAAATGATGCGGTAAACAGAAGGACAGAATTAAACTGACGCCGTTTTGCATTTCTATAGGTTGCATGGTTTTATATACTCTCATGTTTAATCATGTTTTATGCCATTTCATGCTAAGACTTGATAAGTCGCTCGTAAAACACAGGAGGTATGGAAGCTAAGAACACCATATGTGGTCAATTGTACAGCTAATATAACACAACACATTAGTTGTATTTCCTTTAACTGGTGGATTATGGATATATAGTTGCTGATCGAAAGCTGGAACACAAACCACCAAATACAAAAACATAATTCAGATCCAGTCGTCATGACTCCACTCCGGAGGGATTCCCCGATCATTTCTTACAGTTTCTCATCAAGGGGGTGTCTCCGGTACAAACACACTGCCTGAGGAAGGTTAGGCTATGTGTATTTTTTTTGTCATTAACCTCTATTTATTTTGGTGACGATCCGACCTCCATGCTGCTACTCTGGTTCAAACTGCATCCACCAAATAATAGGCAAGGCAAGTTTATTTATATAGCATCTTTCAACACAAGGCAATTCAAGGTGCTTTACAAAAATGAAAGACATTCAGACAAAGGCATTTCAAAACAGTCATTAAAAAGAAAAGATAATAAAATAAACTAAATTAAAAGACTGTCAAAGTTTTCCCCAAAACTAAGAAAATACCCATAGTCGTACCTAGTAACCCACTATAAAATAGTCGTACCTTGTATCCTACTATAAAGCTCACAATAGTTTTAGTAAAACTAAGAAAATGTACCCTATAGTCCACCCTCGAACTATAAGATCCTTTAGTTTTTTCCGAAACTAATAAAACTGGCCTCTAGTTTGACCCACACACTATTTTCTCCAAGGCCTCTAGTTTGACCCACAAACCATTTAAAAGTAGTTTAGTTAAGTTTACCTATGTCTTTCTAGGACTTTTTTGGTATCCTTCCGCGAACCAGGGGTTTGAAACCAAAACGGTGCCTGTATTGACGTTCTCTCCTGCGTCGGTGAAATATCACTCAACACCAGGTTGAGAATCAATGATCAGGTAATAAAAAGTATATGAATAAAAAAGTACATGAATAAAAAGTTACAGTGCAGTTTAAGATATGAATAGTTCACACACAAGTTCCACTTTACTGATGAACACAACGGCTCAGTTTCAATTAAAAGCAGCGACAAAAAGAAAAGTCTTCAGCCTGGATTTAAAAGTAGTCAGAGTTGCAGCGGACCTGCAGGTTTCTGGGAGTTTGTTCCAGATATTTGGAGCATAATAACTGAACGCTGCTTTACCATGTTTAGTTCTGACTCTGGGGACAGAAAGCTGACCAGTCCCTGAAGACCTGAGAGATCTGGATGGTTCATAATTTAGCAGGAGGTCAGAAATGTATTTTGGGCCTAAACCATTCAGTGATTTATAAACCAGCAGCAGTATTTTTGAAATCTATTCTTTGACACACAGGAAGCCAGTGTAAAGACTTCAGAACTAGAGTGATGTGATCCACTTTCTTAGTGTTAGTGAGGACTCGAGCAGCGGCGTTCTGAATCAGCTGCAGCTTCCTAATAGATGTTTTAGTGAGACCTGTGAAGACACCATTACAGTAGTCGAGTCTACTGAAGATAAAAGCATGGACAAGTTTTTCCAAATCCTGCTGTGACATTAGTCTTTTAATCCTAGATATATTCTTTAGGTGATAGTAGGCTGATTTAGTAATTGTTTTAATGTGACTGTTGAAACTCAGGTCAGAGTCCATGACCACACCTAGATTTCTGGCTTCATCTGTTGTTTTGAACATTGCAGACTGAAGCTCAGCGCTAACTTTTATACATTCTGCCTTGGCTCCAAAAACCATTACCTCAGTTTTATCTTTGTTTCATTGGAGAAAGTTCTGACACATCCAGTCATTTATTTGTTCAAGTCACTTGCTCAGTGTTTGAATTGGAGAATAGTCTCCTGGTGTTACGTACATTTGTGTGTCATCCGCATAGCTATGGTAACTTATTTTGTTGTTTTTCATTATCTGAGCCAGTGGTAGCATGTAGATGTTAAAGAGAAAAGGCCCCAAGGTGGAGCCTTGAGGAACCCCACATGTCATATTTGTCAACTCAGATGTGTATTTACCTATAGAAACAAAGTTGTTTCTGTCCTTTAAGTAGGATTCAAACCAATTCAGAACTGTTTCCGAAAGTCCCACCCAGTTTTCCAGTCGGTCTAGTAATATGTTGTGGTCAACAGTGTCAAACGCAGCACTGAGATCTAATAATACTAACACTGAAGTTCTGCCACTGTCTGTGTTTAAGTGGATGTCATTGAAGACCTTTACAAGAGCAGTCTCAGTGCTGTGGTTTGGACGAAAACCAATATGATTTATCTCGACCTCCCCAAAATAACCAAGATCTGACACGGTGTGAGATGTCTTTTTTTTAGCTGTTCTGTCGTCATTTCCTGCGATCTTCTTCATGCATTCAGAATGAATGAATGGGCGTTTCTTTGACTATTTATAGGCAAAGCGTTACGTGAAGCCCGCAAAAGCTGCGCCGCATTTCGAGTTGATTGTGATTTATAAAGGGAAACAGACGTAGGATGTGCCGTACGCAAGTCCTGTGCCGGTACGCAGTCTTTTATGAATCGGAAAGTGTCGGTGCGTATATTTATTTGCTTTATCCTATGTAAGCAACCTTCCCACGCCAATCCTACGCAAGGCTTTATAAAGTGGAAACAGCTCTCACCTGAGACCGTAGAGAACAGTTCCATCAGGGTGCAGTCTGATCATCCGGTTCTTCACCGTCACGCCATGAACGAAAGACTTCTTGTCATTAATGAAGTAGGTGTCAGGGACCCACAGCTGGTCGGCCACCCGGTTGTCCAGGGTCAGATTGAGAGGAATGCCGGTGTAGGAGAGCCGCTTGTCTCTCCACGACTGCTGGAAGTACATGGTGATGGTGTAGTCCTGCGGGAATGACACAATAAAAGGAAGGTTAAAACGTTGTTCATAAGCCATTAACTAACTTTTTTTAAATCCCAAATGGTTTCTTTGACAACTTTCAAACTGGCTTTCTGACCCTACTGAAGTACTGAGACTGCTGCCAGAAATGTTCTGAGTGATATTCATCTGATGGAGACACGGTGTCAGGGCCAATAAAAAGAACTTGTCTATGAGAAAATGAGTCACTCAAAAATGTTGCTTGCATTATTATTCAACAGACCTCCTATTGTTCAGATATTGAAGTGTTACACAATCCTCTAGAAATTGTAGAAAAAAAACCCACAAACATATATAAAGAAGGAATGGGTTGTTAACCAGTGATGACCCGTATTCATGGGAGAGCACCAGTGACTAAACAAGCATTTAGTGAAGCTGCCGCTGTGTTAAACATGTGGTTAATATTGTGGATTTAAACTAAATTACGTAGTTAAGTTTGTAAAAGATCATGGTTTTTGGTTAAAACAAGTATGCTTGTTACAAATGGTTGGATCAACGCAAGTTAAAATAATTCAACATTTACTTTTGGTTTCAAATGGGACATGCAGTAGCCTGACAGGTCATGTCTGTTCTACAGTACAATTCTGTGTAAACATGAAAACAAAAAAGGGTGGAAAGTACATTTTCAGTAGCTTTACCAAGCTGAATTGTTTCCATAATATTTTATTTTAAAACAGTGGCCTCACATTTTCTAAAGTACAATTAGATTTGTGTTAAACATTACAACAGTATTGTATTCAACAGAAGTCCTTTTGAGGACACATTTTGTTTACAACTGTCTGTCTCTTCTGTACTCCCTGAAGAAATACTATCTGGATTTTTGGGGGAAAATAAGATTTAAGAAAGAAGCAGATAGATAGAGGACATATAATGCTCAATTTCAGGTTCATATCAGTATGTAGTGTCTCTACTGAGACATGTCTGCATGCTTTAATGTTCAAAAAGCTCTTTATTCTTCTCATACTGCCTGTGCTGCAGCACCTCTTTTCACCCTCTGTCTGAAACCAGAGTGCAGTCTGATTGGTTAGCTGGCCCGCTCTATTTTGATTGGTCAACCACTTAGAAATGTCCCTCTTTAAGCAGTACGACAACTATGTGTGTGCTTTTCCAGTCCTTACAAACCGCAGAGCACTTCCATGTCAGCATTCACACACCTTCATAGAGAGGCTGCTAGACAGGGTGCACCTGCTCAGAAACACACACTCGCGCACCAAGATACTTTTGTGTGAAAGTCAAATAATCTGTGTGCACCATAACTCACAGTCTGGGCTGACAGAGAGCAGTCTGTTCCTTCTTTTCAAAAAACAAGTTGTTCCAGCTGCAGCACAGACTGCTGAGATGGATAATGTTGTGTAACGTCACTTCTGATTAAGCAGCGGGAACCGTCACCAGCCTGCTCGCTCCAATTCTTTCCCATGCTCCTTAGAGAGCCGCAGCTCCTCCTTCACCTGCCCTTCCGCTCCTGTCACACCCCCGTTTTGCAGTCAGAGTCCCCTCCTCTGACAGCTGTCTGCTGCACCACATGCTCCATCACAGCGTGCCCAATAACTCTTTAAAATGACTTGGAACATGTCGATACTGTATGGTCAAACAGGTTTTACACTTGATAAGCTTAACAAACATGGCATTTCAAAATAGATGTATTGATCTGTAGCTAGACTGAATACAGTAGGAGTTCTGTTTTCTTATAAAACCCTTAAAATCACAATTTAACTTACTTTTATATTTTTCTTTTAATAGGGAGAATGAGAGTATAAATAGAGAGTTGCCTAAACAGCATTCAATGCAATGTAGCTATTCAGGTACTGTATTGTAGTCTAACGCTATGCTGTAGAAATTGTAGTACAAATGTATCTATCTTTTACTATCCTGCAATACATCATTGCAACTTGTTTTCCACTATTGGGCCTTAGGGGCATTTCTAGGTGTCGCTGTGTTTCCAACGTCATTAAACATGGATAACATACTGCAGTGGTGCAGAGCAGGAATCCAGTAGAGATCAGCCAAGGCCCAGTCCAATGGAGGATCACAGACAAGGCCATTTTAGATCATTGATATTGTAGATGCATTTAATGAGTTGACAGTGAAAGGATGCTGCAGAATAGTTAATCCAATGAACGTAACTGATGCAATTTGTGTAGAGCCACTTCCATCCTTGTAACAAACTTTATGAATATACGGGGACTTTCATCATGAACATGTGCCAGAAAGGTAGATCACACTCTCCATCATGATCCTGACAAAAGCAACAGTCTAAAAAAAAACATTATAATTACAATTTAAAACAGCATTAACGCTCAATGCCATGGTTACATGATGAAATTATTGGAAAGGTTTAAGCAACAACGTCATTTGGGATGTTTAAGTAAAAGATCATGGCTGGTTTAGGAAGAAGTCTCATCAAATACAGTAAGACACATGACCCCAAGACACCAACCCTAACCCTAATACTGTGTTTGTGTAATTACCCATTTAATCCCAACATTCTTTCCTCCAGACTGGTCTGACATTTCTGTTTACATCACGCTAAGGATGATAGGAATCCTGGTGGGTAGACCAAAATCGTCCTGTCCCCTTTCAGGTGAAAACAAATAAGGGAAACATTTGTCATGATGCCTCAAAGCTGCTGTGTCATGTATTGCATGTCAAAAACAAAAAAGGTCCAAAGTTACAATGTTCTTGACTTTCATTTAGAAAGAAGAACAGAAGAAGTCAATCTATGTGGCATCAGCCCTCCATAGAGAGGACGGAGACTGTACTCAATGGGACCGGATCAGTCAATGAGTGCACGTCTTCAGGGAACATCAAAGCTAAATGATTATGCTAATGAGTGAACAGTTGTAAAAAGTCAAAGTAGTATATTTGATGCTGCATTACAAATATAAAACACTGACAAGTCAAGGAAATCCCAGTTGAAGTGTTAGCCTGCTGCGGTGACAGGACCCCTTGATTTTGATTTCACAATATCGACACCAATTACCGATCTCCAATGACATTGTGTAATTGTTTGCCTTACTGACCATCATATTTGGGCTCCATGTGGATACAAAATGCACTGTATTCTTTTTTTATCTGATTTGGCAAAGACTTTAGAAATGTTTTTTTTACCGCCAGTCAAATAACAGCAGAAATGTTAATGAAAATAAGGGTGGGCCATGACATAGGGGGAAGATACCCAGAAGGGTTGCCCTCATGTATCGAATAAGGCATAATTGTGCCTCTTATTCACCAACTCTCAGGTTTCAAATACCATTGACATGCCAAATGAAGGTATGGCCAGACACAAATTGCGGAAATATGGTAAGGTTTGAACATTTGAATGGATAACAAAGTTACATAAAGTCAGCTTACTCTAAGACCCCTGGCTGCCTTTGCTTGCATATTGATGTATCTGAGGGCAAGTAAGAGGCAGGGACAGAGAATAACAAGAACAAAGCTGAACGGGATGGGCACTGATGTTCAATATCTCAAGGTCACTGAGAATTAACAATCACAAACAAGACATGTAACGTTGTGTTAAATGTTAGAAATAAAATGCCTTTATGTAGTGTATAATAGCTCATAAAGAGCTTGAGGTTATCATATTGAACTGCTCTTCAAAAGCTTCAGTTGACTGCTGGTAACCTTTGGATGCAGCTGACAGGAGAATGTTGCATCACGGCTCTCCATCGAGCTAATCTGAGGTGCAAAGCTGCAGTTAAGATTCCACTCACAGCTCTCCTGCTTTCCAGCATCCGTTGCACTTTGTAAAGATGCTTAGGCATGCATTTTCTGACACGCTGGAGGGAAATGCAAACTTTAAAAAAAAAAAAAAAAAAGGCAATCACGTACTTTAGGCCCATCTGAACCATTCGCCTCGGTGGTCACAACAGAAAAACAAAGACAAGGGTGGTTAAGGCCAATGGACACAGTCACCATTATAAGGCTCTCTGCCAATGTCAATCTTGTGGGCACTACGGTTGAATTCAACGCATTCTTACTTGGGAGAACATTTTATTGAAATGACCAATGAACCTGATTTATCAAAAGCAGCATCTTTAAAACCTTTGCACCCAATTGAATTAAGAAGAAAATAACTCGATAATTCCTTCAAAATTAGAGAACGTCGGAATATTGAATATTAGAGCCCAACGACTCAACTGCTTATTTTATCAATTTTATGACCGTGACATTTATGTTTACGACGAGGCATAGTAAATATACCCTGTGAAATTCAATTGTATTCACAATGTCTGCTGTCACAAAAGCTATGTCAGGGCTCTAGATCTAATATCTGTTTACAGTAAGAGAAGACAAAATACCCGGTGCGCCCCCCTCCGTGTACAGCAGTAGAGCGTTGAGTAATAAAACAGACGGATTAGCCATTTAGCCCGCCACAGGACCTGTAAGCAGCTGATAATAAAGTGGAGATGACATCACGTCTCATGAGTCAGCAGTGGGAAAGTGCTGCCTCATGAAACTGGGAACACAGCATAGGAAGGAGGATACCTCGTGTTGGGAGTGGATGGGGTTTACAGTAGCGTTGGGGAAGAAGACTATTATTAGAAGCAGATGTTCCCCTCAGCTTCTGCTTTGCCATCAACGCTGTGCTTCCACGGCAGAGCGATGGCCTTACATGAGCTGAATACCGTTATGTATATGAGCTGTGCTAAACCACAGAGAGGAGAGCTCTGCTGCTGCACTGCACCCAACTGCATCCCCGGCACAGGAGAACAGAGTCAGCAATGCCCTTGGTTTGTTTTCCGTCCCCCCTCTAACAGCCTGTGTGGATGAGAGGCGATGCAGCTTTACTACTTCTCTTTATTTCTCCATCTAGTCTGTATCTTTTCTGCAGAACATGGGTACCTAAGCCATGCTAACCCCACTGCAGTATGCTCCTGCCTGACCTAATTCTTCCCTTCCCAGTCATCTCTGGGTGCAGCTAGAAATACATCATAAGAAAGGGGGTGGGTTAGTCGGTGGTGTAA